GAGCTTCCACTCCAGCACTTTTTCTTCAATCCTACTTGGAGCAAACTCATCTGCCCGAGAAGCTCAGATCATACTGTATAGCACCCCAGGTAAAGACCCTCACGAGCGTAAACTGTTTATTTGGTGGAACCATGACAAGTATACATTTCGCCCTGTATATATTTGTCGTGTTTCCACCAGGTAAACAGTTGTTAGTTCGTGCTCGTGTGACTTTTCGTGTTTTTTTTTTTTTTACGCTCAGACAGCACGTCGCCACTGTCAACTGCTCGTAGATGTTCTCCCCTTCACTCTATACCACAATGCAACACCTTGGTTCCACGAGCGCCCTCGAGCGACACTACATCAACTGGCAGCCACGCTCTCCAAGTGTCCCGTTTCTATCCGCGAGTACTCCGCGTTTCTTTCAGTCCAGGTCACGCTGCGTACAGCAAAATCACTTTCTAGACAAGTTTGTTGAGTTCTCTACTCGAATGATGCGTCTCTCATAATCATATGGTGGTTTTGGGAAGTTCAAATCTACTCGAACTACTTGAATTTCCGTGGCTCCAACTGCACGCACCTTCGACTTGCTTTGATTTGTATTGCACTTTGATGATGCATGTGAGTCCCAGAAATGTTTACGCGTGCTTTGAAAACTTTTAGCGCAATGCGCAAATGTACAGAAAATGTTTGTCTTCAAACGCTTTGGTGGCCCCGCCGCGGTGGTCTAGTGGCTAAGGTACTCGGCTGCTGACCCACGGGTCGCGGAATCGAATCCCGGCTGCGGTGGCTGCATTTCCGATGGAGGCAGGAATGTTGTAGGCCCGTGTGCTCAGATTTGGGTGCACGTTAAGGAACCCCAGGTGGTCGAAATTTCCGGAGCTCTCCACTACAGCGTCTCTCATAATAATATGGTGGCTTTGGGACGTTAAACCCCACATATGAATCAATCAATCAAACGCTTTGGCTAAAGTCTAGCTTTCGTCAGGGAAACTGACAAAGGCCGAACGAGGGCCTGACATTGGTCGCAATGTTAGAAACGTCGCCAAAAACCCCACTAACCACTGTGAAAATTAAGATGTCGATTTGTCAGATAACAGGACCAATTCAGTCGGCCTTTCACCGATCATCGGTTCTACCTCTACACTAGGTACAATTGTTCAGTTATCTTTGTGTGTAGGCGACTATGCCAAAAACAATCATTGCAATGCGTGGGCAGGCGTTTATTTGTGTTGCGTGCAACGCTTGGTATATGTTTCACTAATCTAGCGTTTCACTAATGAAATCAAACCTTGGACTAATTTATTTGCAAATTCGAAGAAAAATTTCTCGTCTATGCCTTTTTCACAAAATCCTTTACCAAAATAATTCACCTAAACAGGAACTCATCTCGCAACCTTCGTACATATCGTCACGTCTTGATCATCAGTATAAAGTTTTTATTCCTTTCTGCCCTACTAACGTTTTTTCAGACTCCTTTCTGCCAAAGACCAGTGCCGAGTGGAACCACCTTCCCCCCTCCATCGCTTCCATTGAGGACGTGTCATCCTTCAAGACTGCACTAACCGATCATATCTTAAGCCTCAAATAACTGAATATTGTTTGAACATGTATTCTAATTAATTGGTTGTATTATTGTGTTCTGTTATTGCTGCATTTTTGTTATATTACCCACCCCCTCTGTAACGCCTTTATGGGCCCTGAGGGTAATGTAAATAAATAAATAAATAAATAAATAAATAAATAAATAAATAAATGTTCTTTCACTCTATCAATGACAACTCAGCCCGTACGGCCGGCGTACCTTCCAACGTACGTCGGTGGCACCCTAATATACACCATCAACACAGGGAACTAAGCTGTTTCTCTTTCAAAGTATAGGCGTCACAAAACTGAAATAGGACTTTTTCTGGGTGAATTTCCTTTGTTAGCACCGATCTTTGCCCGGCCTTGTACTTGGTTCATTTTCCTTCGCACTCAGCCACTAAAATGTCACGCAGTACAGAACAGCCGGAGCTACCATCCTGCTTGGGCTCTAGAGCTTCTACGACACTTTATGGTTTCGGCGTACATATTTTAGCGCAAAGTTTGACCAAAAAAATCAATCCTCAAAAAGACAATGAAGGCAGTGCCCGGAGCGAGTGCCGATTGATTGATCGATATGTGGGGTTTATTGTCCCAAAACCACCATATGATTATGAGAGACGCCGTAGTGTAGGGATCCAGAAATTTCGACCACCTGGGGTTCTTTAACGTGCACCCAAATCTGAGCACACGAGCCTACAACATTTCTGCCTCCATCGGAAATGCAGCCGCCGCAGCCGGGATTCAAACCCGCGACCTGCGGGTCAGCAGCCGAGTACCTTAGCCACTAGACCAGCGCGGCGGGGCCTGGAGCGAGTGCTCGAATGGTGGGCGGCTTGTACGCACGCGTTCTTCAAGTTAAGTGCGCCATCAGCGTTTTTGTGCGCTATTACTGTCATGTGGGAAGACCTACATAGGTCGAACTCGGAATCTGCTCGGGAACTTGAAATGTTTGAAAAGTGAAGGTCATGCCCCTGCATCGTGCTGCATTAGTGCACCGGGGCATCGTGAGATTAAGATGATGGCAGTGGTGATAGTTTGGGAGGAGAGTTGTGGTTAGGGGTGGGAGGGACAGCAGCTTCTTAAGTATACTGCATTCTAGATGACATTGGCTCAGCCTCATTACAAGACTCAAGAACAAGGATCGTATTTTCACCACTGCAGACAAGCACAAGTTGGAGTTGTAACTCATAAGTAGTGGCTTCATGTACGGAAACTCTTGTAGCTTGGTGATACCTTCACTCAAATTATATGGTACGGAAACCCTATCTGTCCCCGCGAGGGCCATTAAGTGTATTTGGGGATACCTTCACTGCTTTGCTTGTCCTGTGCTCGTAAACGGCACTCAATTGCAAACACACCCTTTTCTTTCACAATTTGAAAGCACATCTGCTGATTCCCCAAAAAACAAAGTATCGGAATATTTTTTCTTGCAATGCAGAATCAGGATGTATAGGGGACTCAAGAGTATTGCTAGCGTACTATCGGAATACTGCACAGCTTTTATATGGAAGTGCTTCCAACATGCAGCCTCTGTGTTTATTTTTGTTGACTCCGGGTCACCTGTTTAAACCAGTGTTGAAGAGTGAGCACCTCCATTTCATTTCAATTTTATTCCGGGGGAATGGTAACTTGCCGTAGTTCCCTTCTTTCAATTCCTCGTGATGAAAGATCTAGCCCATTCCCATTCTGAGAATGGCTAGGCAAGTCCATTCCATTCCTACGATTCCTCAACGTAGGAAAGGCATACCTTAATAGCTATATCGAGCTAGGAGAGATTGGAACAACACAAAACTGAAGTCATCAGATGCATGATAACTGCAAGAATATGCTACACGTGTTGCAACGGTTGAGAGATAGTAGTTTGCTGACCTATCTCGTGCAAAACAACCACACTACTAGTTACCATAGGGACAGTTCCCTCGCTACTTATGATATTTGCATAATCAGCACAATCTTCAAAAAGTGTTTGTAACGAGTTGGCAATGCACGCATTTACTTGTTTCATCTCTTGACTATGCAAGCAGCTAGTAAAGTTTGAAACTTTTGCCGTTACTAACCGGGATTGTTTATAGGTCTTTATAACAAAGCAACTACGTTGCCAGACCTCTCGTAAGCATCACCGTATATCTTTACGTAATCATGACACTCTTAGGGAAAATATTTGATCAATCTTAATTTTGTCTATTACATTGCAATGAAAATTTGTGCTATGTGGTGACACAGACATATATGGAAAGGCAGACGGTACTGTGTACACAACGTCAAATATTTTCTAAAATGTATGGCTGCTAACCAATCAACATTGTGCTATTCCATTGTAGGAGCGTGAATATCCCTCAATCTGGCACTACAGTACACAATACCCGCTAAATCTTGATATTCTATGAGTGAGTTTCGTGCATTTCCTCGACTGTGATTCGTTCGTGCTTCTATGTATCTTCCTGTGATGCGTACTTGCCATGGTAATTAAATGAAGTGATTAGTGACTACTATTTATTCTACATGTACAATTGTACTTCGCTTTTATCCTATATACACTTCTGTAATTGAGTTATCTTGATGCCCCAATGCACAAGCACATATAAACACCCGTTAACTATAAATTCAGTAATGGATTAAATATTAGAGTCAGCAGCACTATTCACGCACTAGTTTGCAAACTAGCCAGTTTCACTAATCAGCATTTTACTACCTTCACTTACTTTTTGTGAAAAGTAAGCAGTTAGTATTTAGTTAGTCAATAAGCGGTCCTTTTTCTAGGAGTGAATGTTTTAATTAATGATGTTTGATTATGGTTTAAGCTTAAGTGCGTTAATGCTAAAATCAGGATTTAGCGAAATAAATCAGGACTTAACGAATCGCGACTGTTTCATAGCGACTAAACAGTATACAGAGTCCGTAATGGTGACGTTGCATACTTTTAAAGGGCTGAATTCGCTCTAGCTCATGGTAGGCGGAAATATATATAAGGATTAAAACTTTGCATCCCCCATAAATGGGGAGCCAATCCAGAGGTCGGTTGCGACTATAACCCACATGCCTAGAGGAGTTCGACGGGGAACACTTGGATTGCCGCGGCCTCCAGTGGGCGCGAGATTCCCCGGCTTTGTCTTGGCGAGTCGTTGGCGCGCAGGAAAGCCTCGCACCACTTACGATAAGCGAGACCTACATTCACAGTTTATGCTATCAGCTCCATATCAGCGCCAGCCTTGTTCGTTGGGTCGACGCACTGGCCGACGCTAGGCAAGAGTATACGTATATTGCATTCGTATAACTCATAGTTCTGGCGGACTCTACTAATTTCTTCTGGTTAGTGTTTTAGAGCAGGTGCGCCGCAATTCGTGGGCTATACCACCATCCCCACTGCAGACATGCTGAAGCCATGGCAAATGTACGCGCGTCTGATGCGGCGTCATCCCGCAAAGACACAGGTTATGACCACGGCCACTGTACTGCTTTCGGGAGACCTCATCACCCAGAAGGTGCTCGAACCCCAGCCCAACGTGGATGTGGTACGGGCAGCGAGGTAAGGCTTTTATACTAGTGTCAAACGATAGTACACATGCCAGTAGCAGTTTTTGTCCAAAGGTCTAACGACGTACTACCATGTCGGTGACTGCATCAGGCTGAAATGGTGGCATAATCTTACTGTAAACCGCAAAAGTGCGAAGTCGGAAGAAGTGCAACATTTCGTTCCAACGATGAATATTTAGTCCACGGAGGAATTACCTGCACAACGAGGGTGATGCATATACGCGCGCGGGGTTGTGAGCTTTGAGGGGGGGGGGGGGGGGTGAAGTTTTCTTACAGTGCTCTTTCTTACCACATTCATATTCGCAAGAAGCTTCGTAAAGATGCATAAAGTAAAATATTGGGATGTTGTGCTTCTCACAACGGCCGGCCATTGGTCCCATGCTTTACTGGAGTAAAAGTTTGAGCAATCAATTCTTGAAGACAGCATCAGGCGAACAAGCTCGATATAACCAAAACATTGTTTAGTAAATGCAAGGAACCAGCATGATGTACTGATTACACAAACAAACGTGACATCACAAAGGAATGAAACACGGTAACAGATTAAGTCTGATGATCTGATGTTTCAGACACACGTACGAGTTCGTTATTCACTGAGCTGGACCATAAACTTCAGATCAGTACTTAACTTAGTCAGGGTACCGCGTTTCATCTCATCTAATGCCGGACCAGAGGAACTTTTGCCTGAATTCTTAACTACATGACATCAAAAATTTCGCATCCCACCATGTTGGTCTTCATCAGTACTGTTTCAGTGGTGTACGGTGTAGGCCATACCGGTCGATACTGCATGTGTTCCGAATTTCACAACAACAAAAAGGAGATCCATTTTCAAAGAGAGTGCCCTGTATGATAATATACTGTAAACACACTTTATAAAAAATTTCTTGAACGTGTGCAGGTTCTTCTTGATGGGTGCCGGATTCGCCGGTCCCGTCATCCGAATCTGGCACCTCACCCTCGAACGTTTTGTGGGTAGTGGCGTCGGCGCATTCGTAGTCGCCAGGAAGGTGATGATCGACCAAGCCTTGTTCGCGCCGGTGTTCATCGCCAGTTTTCTGGTGGTCCTGGGCGCATTCAAGCGACGCTCGTGGCACGACATCGAGCAATCGTTGCGAACAAACTATCTGCAGATCCTGAAGACCAGCTACGTGATCTGGCCTGCGGCGCAGCTCGTCAACTTTCGATTCGTGCCCCTCAGCTACCGACCACCATTTGCAGGCTGTGTGGCTGTTGTGTGGAGCACGTACTTAGCCTGGAAGGCCAACACAACTCAGAACACCCACCGCGAAGCACTCGGTGAACCCACGAACCGATAATGACAGGTAATTGAGCGCTAGTTCCGTCTTCTTGTCACTTTTGTGTTGTCTTTCTTTTTTTTTTTGCTTTATGCTTTTATTTTAAATCAGATGATGTACAATGAACAGAAGTAGCATGAGCCATTGAGACAGGCTCGTAGCCAGGTGGCGGGGAAGGAGGAAGGGGTATCTTAATAAAAGTGCATGCTTTAATGAAGACCCTAAAAAATAGAGAGGTTGTAAAAGCCTTCAATAAGTGCACCCCTCGCTATGGGCCTGCATTGATTCACTACTGTAATACCCATTTTACAATTATTAATTACCTGCATGTCAGATATAGCGGCAGCAAACTTCATATGGGCGAAAAGAAAATTTTAGGGCTGGCCTCATGTCTCAAAAACACTTCGGCAAAGTCCACAAGCTACACCCTTCTACTTGACCCATGTTACTTTTCTGAGATTACGTGTTGGCACGCCTAACTAACGTCATCTGTTTCGTGGGCTATGGTTTAGGTGCTGCAGTGTACGATATCAGTGTCATTTCAAGTGCAGCTTTTCATGATTGTAGTACTGCAATATGACCGCAGTGATGGCGTCAGTGTACTCTGCTGGCACGCTTACAATGCAGTGATGTTCATCTGCAACGGTAGTATGACCGGATTATCTTTTTTATCAATTGATTTATCTCACAAAACAAGCTCGTCTTGCTGTTTTAATGTTCCTTTACGCCCTTGGTAACAAGATATTTACATAAACGGCCAACGAGAACTTATGTACAAAGTTCATTTAACTGCTTATCGCTTGATTGATATGTGGGGTTTATCTTATTCAAACCACCATATTATTATGAGACAAGTGGTAGTGGGGGGCTCTGGCAATTTCGACCACCTGGGACTCTATACCATGCACCCAAATCTGAGCACACAAGCCTACAGCATTTTCGCCTCCATCGAAAATGCCCCGCCACAGCCGGCATTCAATCCTGCGACCTGCGGGTCAGCAGCCAAGTACCGTAGCCACTAGACCACCGCGGCAGGGCATTAACTGGTTATCGCATTGGATTTCAAATAACCTGTTCTTTTAGCCAGGAACGCTCTCACTTTCAAGGAGACCTTTGCAAGCGCTCTTATATCATTAGCTACAAAACCCAAAATACTATTGTACAGGGAGCATTACTAATTTAGAGACCACGAGATTCAAGAAAAGTTTAATGTTCTCGCTTCTTCCGCAGCCAGCCTTGAATTTAGTTTTACGTCCAGTACCTAAACAAACTAAAACGCACTGTGAAGTTGGAGCAAATGCAGTCAAGTGCTAGAAAATTTGAAGTTTTCTCAAAGCTAGTGAACTGAACTGCTAAGGTTTTTATTTCATAAGTTCTCCATTTTATGGGACTATATTTAGTTTGAAATTGTACTGAAATTGGTTATTGAACAGCTTTAGCACTGGTTCTCCAATCTCCGTCTTTCACTCTGTTTCCCTCTAAACCTCTCCAATCAGCTGTTGCTTCAGGCGGGAAATTCCTCAATGGCATAACATCTTTCATGACTCAGTACATGGCCTTGTCACTTGGCAGTCCGACAGATAAGCTATCTGCAGTTAAGGCGGAAATGATGACACAAGCACAGCGGTCGTCTGTGTCGCACCTCTGATAAGCCACCTGAGTAGCGTTTGCAAAATGGCACGCATATCTCGACCCACGCGTTTACAACGTCATTCTCGCTAATCCTTGCGCCTTCGACAAAAAGACATTTTTTTCATTAGTTTCACAAAAAGGTGCATTTCGATTCTATTTTCAATTTTCTTTCAGTTTTCGTTTTTTTTTAATGCTAATGCATTTCTTAGTCGGGCTATGTCAGGCGTATGTCGGGATCCGTCCACCGCCCTCTCCCATAGCAACAGCGACGGGCGCGCGCGCTTATCCTCACCCCTAGCAACTGTGGCATGTTTGGCGAGAAAGTGTAGGGAAGAGTAAGTGAAGTGCCTCGCCGCTCCTTCTCTCGCCATTAACTCTCTCTTTCTTCCCTGCGCCGACTTTCTCGTCTGCTTGCACCTCACTCTCAACCTTTCGCTGGCTGGGCGCCTCTCAAGATTATCCGGAAATGTGTGCTCGAGACGCCACTGTGAAACGCTAACGCAGAGCCGAGAACGCTGTTTGTTTCGTTCACTTCGTAGTATTTCGTTCACTTCGTTTTGTTCACTTCGTTTCGTTCACTTCGTAGTAATAGAGAACGACGCTATTGGCTTCCCAGTGTAAGAAAAAAGCAGAAAACATTGTTCCAACGCTGGGTTCTCACGTGCGAAATGCCGTTATGAATGCTACGCAACGCACTCGCATTTCCTCAAGAATCCCTTCGGGCGATTGGGGAATTTTTCAGTTTCAGTTTTTCATTATTAGTTACATAAGCATCAAGTACATAACGCATGCGTAGATGAGTCCCAGAGTATGAATACTAAAAACTGGATCTTCTATTAAAAACCACAACAAAAGTGAATTGAAAACAATTGGCAGAAAATTAGCGGGTGGTAATAATAATGTTATACGAGGCAAAACGAGCAGCAAAATGCTAGGACAGTATAAAAATTGAAATATTACAACAAAGTGGAAGGCACAATGCGAAATATAAATTAAAAGCAATTCACTGCAATGTCGAGTACGACACACACAGGCAATGCGGAACATAAGTATAAAATGTGCGTAAAAATGAAAACGAACAAAAAAACTGCCCGCAGCTTCCCTCGGGGGAACACTGAGGAGGATGCGGACCATATAATTGGTTAACGGGGTGTTAAAGTGCGACTTACTTGGGTCGATGGCTAAATTGGTTAACGTGGTTGTGAAATGGGGTGTTAAATTGCGACTTACTTGGGTCGATGGCTAAATTGGTTAACGTGGTTGTAGGAGGGGGTGTTAAATGAGTGAACACGTACACACGTATGCGAAAGGGCGGCGCTGGTCGAAGGGACGTCGATCATTGTGTTTGTGGATTCGTTGGAAATCATTTCACCGCGACCTTGGACGTCGACGCGCCGTACAAACCAACCGACGAGCGGCAACTGAGCGAGCGAGCGCCGACCTTGAGTATATATACAGCACGACGGCGCATGCACTGTCAGCTGTTGAATGTTCTCGAAGCGCGACGCCACATGCGCGTCCACTGGAGAATCAGGAGAATTGTAGATGTCGAACGCGGTGTGTAGAGGAGGAAGGAATGCACAGATGGTGGAAGAGTGGGCGACGGCGTGACGGCGCATGCGCGCGCGTCAGCTGTCGAATGTTCGAGAAGCGGTGCGGACGGCGCGGACGGCGCACTACAAGGCGCGAGTATAAGATGCTCCGCATCTAAAATGAAAATTTTACCCGGGCAAAAAAATTAAACATATAAAAGAAATGAGCACAAGTGGGAAAAAAGTATCTACTATAACTAAGGTGAGCAATCAGGGGTTCAACGAAAAGATTACATCGACCTTTTGAAAAGTGAAAATAAGCGCACATATTTCGGTAGACGAAAAAGCGCTTAACAGTGCAAACGACAGAAGGGGATAGATCTCTTCTATCCCCTCCTGTCGATTGCGCTGTTAAGCACTTTATTCGTCTACCATGCAGCACCAACCAGCCCAATCAAACACTTTGTGATAGATTTCAGTTCACCCGGCAACCTGTTCCAAAGATGAACTGTAGAGAATTTAAATGTGTTCGTACCGTAGTTAGTGCGAATTGCTCGTAGCAAGTAATTGAGATTAGAAGCAAATTTGGTAAAGTTAGTATTCTTTGGAGAGCTAATATTCAATATATTCAAAGGAGAGCTTGAAAATAGGTAACCTGTAAACGTTGTACTTATGTTATAATGAAATGACTTTTTAACAATTAAAATATCACGTTAGCTCATGTCGTAGCCCGCGGACAAACCTCGACAAAATATCGACAGTTACATTCATAAAGGTAAGTGCGGCACTCAATTTGCGAGGATGAGACCGAGATCAAAAACACAAGCGCTAACTGTATATAATGATTTATTTGAAGCCGGATCACAGAATGTGTACATGAAAAGGTGGACATTCAAGCATGCGCAAATGTAGTGGAATGAAGAAATGCCAATTTTTTCCTATAAAGAAAAGGATGGCGCGTTAACACAGTCTGAACTCACAGCGCAAGATAACTCATATAACTCAGAGCGCAAGAAGGACCGTGGCAGACGTTGTATAGGACAACACGAGCGCTGACTCTCAACTGAAAATTAATTAAAGGAAAGGCTCGATTTGTGCAGCAGGGTCATTCACGGGATAGTACTTTATCAGGACACGTGGAGCATCCACACGCGTCAAAAAAAACAAAAAAAACTATCTGCACAACAGGCCATACTAACGAAAAACGGACTTGTCAAGCATCCTAAGATAGTTGGAACTTCTGAAATTACAGTTCCTTGTCGCTAAGGGCAACAAACGGATGGCTTATGCACCCTTCACCTTCTCTGTCGATGAAGAAGGCCTCCTTTATCTCCCTTGTGTTCTGAAGCTTATGGTGGAACAAAACAACTGCTTCCCTCACCATCAGCCACAACCACATTTTCCGCAGTGCGATGGCAAGTGCTTGTGGCAGCGCTCGTGTTGTCCTATACTTCGTCTATGTCCTTCTTGCGCTGTGAGTCATCGAAAATGAAATATCAAAAATATCTTTGTGCAGTGCAGTATCAAGATGAAAAAGACACTCAAAAGTATTGTTAGCATACTATCGAAATACTGCACAACTCATATATCGAAGTGCATTCAACAAGCAGCCTCTGATTCTTTTTTTGACGCCGGGTCCCCTGTTTGAACCAGTGTTGTGGAATGGACACCTCCATTCCATTCCGATTTCATTCTGGGGAACATATAAAAGGGTAGACGGTGATGTGTAAAAACTTCATTATTTTTCTAAATTTTACGGCTGACAACTAATACAGTGTGCTATTCCAAAGTAGGAGCACACATAGCCTTCAAACTAGTAGTGCAGTATACGATACCAGTTATAAGTCTTGATATTCT